TGGGAGGAGAAAGCGGAAAACTCAGTCTTGAAAACGCGCCGCTTGCGATCGATAATTACGGTGCCGGGTACGCGCGGGTCGGGATCTACAACATGAATGGGATGTGATCATGTGTACATCATTGCAGCGAAAGAAGAGCATCCCAATGAATTTGATTTAGATTCATACTGGAGGGGGATGACTGTGCGTACTCCTAGCATAGCGCATGGAAACATATATGACAGCGTACCACCAGCGTGGATGTGGGAAGATCATTTTTACTGTACAAGCATGTGTTAACTGATAGACGGGAGAGCCTAACTGAACTACATACTAAGCAGTTAATGATGCTGAAATTCAATGGGGATGTTGAGGGCCGACTGAAGTGAGGATAGTAAGGTAAACAATCTTTTTTTTTCTATTACCATGCATTAAAAAAAACATTAATGCTTTTCTAAGCGTTTGGTGAAATTTAGAATGACAAAATTTAGAAAGCAGAATTTGAGATTTGTAAAGCAGAATTTGACATTTATAAAGCAGAAAACTTGAGGCACTAGACCACACAAGCCTCGAGGGGCTTATAGCTTTGAGCTATATTTTAGCAAAAGAGCTTATAGCTTGAGGTAATAAAGTGAAGGGGTAGCGATTTCTCAACCAGATACGCAGGTGAAATAATAAATGCCTGCTAGTTTGACTGTACACAGTCGCAAGGTATGGTATCTGGTATAGAACTATGCTACTAAATGGTATTGATTTAATTCAGTACAGTATCGATACACATATCGTGAATGGTCCAACTTATCGATACGTGTATCGTCAAGGTTTATATCGCAATACATCATATCGATGAATTGAAACAATTGTCCGACCGTTAATAACGAATGACTGTAAAGTTATTTAGTGAGTTTGCTTACTTTTCCTTGCTTGACAATGTAGTATGGATTGCTGCGTGAGAAACCAGCACTCTCCAGGAGATTCATAACATCTGTTTTCCTACAAACACAAATCATCAATAGCAAATGCAATGTCTGTGTGTAAACAGAAATAATTATTAACCAGTATCACATTAATCTTCATGTAACAATAAACAATAATAGTAAATAAGCAATCGTGTCAGCAGTTCTGGCACTCTTGCCTGAAAGAGACATTACTCAAAGTGAAATGATTGTTTACGCGCCACCATTAATTTGATAACATACCAAATAAATCAATATATAAAAATTCTAACAAATCGTTAGAGTGCAAAGACAATCCATGTCATCTGGAAAACTTGAGAGTTCAATGCTTGGTTCTCCCCAGGCTTTCAACACTGAAGCCCATTTGCCATTTGCGCCATTCTATAAATCTAACGACGTGCCATTATTGCCTTATCAACATGCCTTAATTTCTAGCCGTTTACTTTTGACAATCCCAAGACAGCAATGTTGTTTTCACAGCTTGATGCATACATCTACGAACTGATCGAGTTTACCCATGCGTTGGGGGCTGCTTACAACAGGCCTCTAATTAAGCGACGAGAGAGGCAAGGCAATTTTTTGGGGGCATGTGAGAAATTGCCTTGAATTTTCTCTAAAATGGATGGGCACCGAGGCAATTTTAAAAGACATCAAGGCAACTCTCACAATTTGAGAAGGGCACCAAGGCACTTTTGTAAAATAAAGGAAAACTCATAACAAATTAATACATCAAGCTACACACCGTACAGATCACAGCTGGCCATTCTTGCGCGAACGTCGTTTGCCGCGCTTTAAATCGCGCGCGGGCCGAGTCGATGTGCAGCATTTAAATATTCGTGTTCTACCACGGGCATACACAGGCGCAGTGGCGCACGATTTATCGATCGTCTGCTGGCAGCGGTTCTACACGCTCTGCGACAAACAGTGCGGCCGCGAACTAGTCTAGCCAAAGGCACCGACGGCAATTACAGAAAAAGGCAAGGCAGGTCACTGCCGTCGGTCGGGTTGGATTTTCAGGGGCAGTACGGCGATTGATAGGGCCACCGACGGCAATTGCCGTCTGTGCCGTCGGTTAATTCGAGCCCTGGCTTACAACACGCGCAATTAACTCCCAATTAGCAAATGGCACATGAATTGCGTGATTGTTCGACCTGTCTACTGAAGTTCCTGGGGAAGAAACCTGCAACGTATTTGTTTCGTTCAGAGACAAAGTTAGTTTCCGAGCAGTTATACTTACGTCACCATTTTCTTATCCAGAAAATACTGGTCTTTCTTCGAGCCAATGACTCTACGCAATGTCACTTCTTCTTTGTCTATCTATAAAGCAACAAAACAACCACAATTCAAACACATACCAATTTGAGCAGCACATCACATGCATGGCAGCAGGTGATCATCACGCCACCTGCTGTCATACCTCAACATAAATCAAGCAAAAACAATCCGTTTGGAATTGCCAACTATAAAGATTACGTGGGCCAGCGCGTCGTCGTGGCACGGCTCGACATACCGGAATTCTGTTGTCGGAATTGTCGAAGATGACCTCGACAAATGCAGAGATGACACGTGGTCCCGTCCCCTCATGCAGCAGGGCTTGACGCTGCTCAGGACGAAGGTGACTGAACTCATCGCTCAGCACAAACTGAATCGCTGCAATCACAAGCCAATAATCGCAGTTGACACTCGATTGTATGACATGACCTAGCATGTTACTTGGGTTAACTGTTCATGTTTATTAGCGACTACAAGTTAGTATATATGTATTCTCTCATCCCTTCCATGTAGCATTACAATCCCAAGTTGTTTGGCTATGATATATAGCGCCCTTATATCTCGAAACTACATGCATTTTACCAAGTTTAGCTCGGATTGTTTTGTTCGAGCTAATAACAAAGACCGTGTACAATAAAACCGTATGAAAAGACTGTACAACTACATAACTGTTAGCTTGCTTAAAATGTGCTCAATTTATTCTTTTTATCACCATTTCGTGCAAGCTACCTATACCAACAAGCTCATGAATAAAAGTGTGATAACAGCCATTTACGATAAATAATATTGATTTGTATACTCAACTGCCTCTACAATTAAATCGTAACACGAATAATTTCATATTGTTAATTAACTGTTGTTATCCGTCAATTGATGACCTGCAGATAGTAACTCACCGTTGGTTGGTGCTATTGTCATGCGTTGGACATAATTTTATAACAGTGAGTCTAGAGAGTGTACGTACGTAGACTTATTGTATACGAATCTTTGCTAATGATTAATAAATGTAAACTACATACCATAGAAAAAATTACTTTTCCCTGAACCATTCCTGCCAACTGGAAAATAAATAACCAAAGATGTATACGAGTTTCAGTAGAAATTATACACATACTTCACGCACGCACGCAGACACACACCTTATGACGCAAAGATAACAAAGAAGCAATGGAGTATTAATTGGAACACCCTATGCTAACCTTCAATTTCTGCATTGGGGGAATCACAATGCTTATATCCATACTCTAACAGACCTGCCAATCCCATCTGATGATCATCAGTAATAATTATTGGATTTTTCCGTAACAAATAGGCATTTGTCAGTAACACCTTTTTGTCAGTCTTATTACAGTATAATAATAACATAATTAGCATAAAGATGTCATTTGGCAGTTCTTGCTTCACACGTGTCGTCTGTCTGTATGCGTTTTGATGCCATTTTGCATAAGAACAGTGCACTGCGCAGCACCTAATTTATCTCTCACGGTGATTGGCTGAAAATAGCCTTCAGTGCGGTACTACTATTCCTGGATCCGTGACGTCATTCAAAATGGCTGCGCCCATAAACCAGACAGACGAGTGCATAACACTTCTTCTTCTTCTACTTCTACTTCTATACTGGACAGTCCGTAAGGAATAAACGTCCAGGGCTATAGCTAGCCATGGTGTGTGTGACCTAGCTTGTTCGAGGAGAAATTTACGGACAGTCGATAAGATAGATTCATCTGAAGATGTGGTGATAGTTTTTGTAATGCAAGAATAAGAAAGGAATATAAACATGTGTAAAACATCTTGGTAATTTCATGTAACAGATACTTGTTTTTTAGCTAATGCTTTTCGTACTCACTGACAAATTTAAATTATGCTTATTTCTCGTGCTGTTTGGTGGGCGCAGCAGTTGTTTGAATGACGTCGACGGAGTGGATTGTGGAGGTAGGGTGGAGGTTGAGTTGGTGTGAGGCGAGTGCGAGCGGTGGAGAGGAGTGGAATGTTTAGTGTGGTGGTCAGGGGGGCGATCTGTTGTTGATGGCTCGAGGATGTGCAAGTCGAAGGACTGTGAAGGTAGGCGGATCGGGAGCGGCTGTGTGTGAGATGATGAGAACTGCGGCAAGATGATGGTGTGGTGGGTATGCTGAGGTGGTTATGTTTAGTTGAGTGGTTAGCAGTGTGGTAGCGTGGGTAGAGTTATGAGACTTGACAGGAGGGGGGGGTGTGGTGTGAGTGAGCAAGGTGCGTATTTGTAGCGAGGAGAGGATCGGGTTGAGTGTATTGCTGAGTAGTGGATCGGGGGGTGTGGCGAGGGTGTGGGTGGTGGAGGGGTTGTGATGCAGGTGTTGTGTGGTGACGTTGGCGGAGGGGGGGGGGGGCGCGCGGCCCGTTTTGGGGTGGGTGAAAGGTCTCTCGGTCTCTGGGCTGTTGGAGTTGCGGCGCGGTGTTGTGGGATGTGCGTGCGGCCGGTTGAGATGGGGTGGAGCACAGATGAGAGAGTTGGCGCGCGCGGGGAGATCGGACCGGGTCAATAGAGGTTGCCGTATGGGCCAGGGGGACTCACCCGCCGCTTGTGGGTATTTTAGCTTGTGACTATCGGGCATGTTATTGCTTGGACAGTAAACAAGTTAAAGCTGACAATGCAAGTTCGGTTTTATCCTGTAATCTGAGGCTGGTTACACTCGACTGGCGTTATCTTTGGAGTTGGAGTAGTGATCTCAAGAGGACTGCGCAGGAATAGGTTCGTTATGGGGGGTGGGGCGGGGTAGTGGGGGTGGGGGTGTGGGCGATTTACGATTATTATTAGGTCTGGGGTGACGGTAAAGGAGTTCAGGGTCGCGCTCTCGAGGGCTCCCGCGTTAGGTTTCCCCTTTCGCCGCGTCCCCCCTGGTTGTCCCGCCCTCGCACGCCGCCATCCCCTGTTTGATTTCGGTGCTGGGGGGAGAGCCTCTGGTATGATATAGCTGTGGATCCCAATGCAGATATTGAAGGTTATGGCTAGGGTGGTCATTAATACTTCCATTGCTCTTCTTTGTTATCTTTGAGTCATAAGGTGTGGGTGGCTACGGTGCGTGGCGTGCGTGCTGGTGAAGTTGATGGTTGGTATAATTTTACTGAAATTCGGTATAATCTTTGGGTATTTATTTCAGTATGGCGAAGTAATGGTTCAGGGAAGATAGTAATTTTTTCTATGGGTATTATTTACATTTATTAATTTATGCATGGTTCGTATTATCGTATAATGTCTACGTACAGTACTGATCTGTAGGAGTCATCTGCACACTTATAAAAATTTTATGTCAAACGTCATGGACGAGATAGCACCAACACGGTGAGGTTACTTATCTGCGGTTCATTTCAGATTGCGGCTACAACGTATTACAATTATGAATATATTATTGTCGTTACGTGTTAGATGTAGAGGCAGATTGAGATAAGAATCCATATTTTTACGTAAATGGCTGTTATGTCACATCTTTTTATTGAGCTTTGTTGTATATTGGTAGCTTGACGAAATGGGCTGATAAGTAAGAATTATAATTGAGCACATTTTATAGCAGTGATCAATGTATGTGATTCACGAGTCTTTTTCAATAGATGGTTTTATTGCTTAACACTGGTCTGTTGTTATTAGGCTGCGGATTATCAATAAAGATCAGGGCGCTACTTGTAAATGCATGAGTTTCTGCAGAATAATGGGGCCTATTATGATCATAGCATAGACAATTTGGATGTATGGTTA